TATATATATATATATATATATATATATATATATATATATATATATATATATATATATATTATAATTAAAAAATATTAAAATTAATTGACAAGGCAATTACGTAATTTGACTTTTTAGGAATCGTCCACGTGTATTTTGTTTTAACTAATAATAACGTCAAATCAATAAAGGAAAATTTATTTACTCAATTCCTTTATTTTTATTGCATATTTTATTTTAATTTTTCGATTAAAAAAATTTACATATTTTTTAAATTTTAAAATAGGAAAATTTTGAAAATAAATAAATAAAATTATACCAAAGGGAATCAAGAAAGTAAAAAGAATAATAATAATAAAAAAAAAGATTAGGAAAAAGGTGCACGTGCGTACATGGCTGCGGCTGTGGTGAGCCTTTGTGTAGGCTTACGAGGCCAAGTGCTGCGTGACCTCTACGAGCCGCTGCCGCTGCCCAACGGCCAATGCACGCACTTAGGTTCACAAAGATTTCTACTTCTTGGCTTTTGTGCTTGGGACTTCGAAACTACAAAGCCATGGTAGTTTCTGCAAGGTTTCATATATCTGATCTACTTTGACCAATTCAGTTAACTTAGCTTCAAATTAGAAAAGAGTCAAGTTTATCGACGTGTTCTCGACTCTAGCCTCTTTTATGGGATTAAGATTGTTTGTTTGTATGTGACGGATCAATTTGTGAACGGATTGTTTTCCTTCTCTTAACCCGAAAATCGATTATGTAATAGTTCAAACTCATTGCTAACCGATATTGTCTTCGGTTTTTCTTTATGGGTTTCCCTTAAAGTTTTAAAATACATATATTAGGAAGAAGTTTCTACACTCTTATAAGAAATACTTCGTTTTCCTCTCAAACTAATGTGGGATCTCACAATCCATCCCCTTAGGTGCCAACATCGTCATTGGCTAGCACGCCGTCGAGTATCTAGCTCTGATACCATTTTGTGTGCCAGTGAAGATGTAAGGCCCAAAAGAGGATGGATTGTGAGACCTCACATCGATTGGAGAGAGAATAAAACATTTCTTATAAGGGTATAAAAACTTATCTCCCGAAGAGACAATATCAGCTAGAAGTGAACTTAATCTATTATAGATTCGATTTTCGTCATAATTTATCCATGAATAAAGTATTCTTTTGATGACAAGAAAATATTTAGGGTTAAGTACTGAAAGCAAAATAAGGCCTTCCTTCTAACATGTCAATGCATACTCGACATCAATAGTCATTTTCTATCTACTAAATTTGAGAGATGATGTGATGTTGATATAGGTTCGACAAGAAGATTGATGTTTTTTTATTTCATTGGACGATATTTGGTGGTTCAGTGAATGGTTACATCTATTTGGTTTATTTCAATCAATTCAATTGATTTAGTTTCATACCGAAGAAGACCGAGCAAAACTAACGTGTTTGGACTCTACACTCGAATTGGGGTCGAGATAGTGGTTCAGTTTGGAAAAGTTGAATGCATGGGTTTCAAAGAATATAGCAAAAAAAATCCATTGCACAAAGGAGAATAGACTGACCCTTCCTTTTTCTATCACTAGCAGTGTCATCTGAGACTCTTTAACCTGGCTGGTGAAAGGAAAATGAGTGTAAAAAAGAAAAAGCGAACCCATAAGGTAAATGGCTTTGTGGGTTTGAATGAGGTAGCCCCCCACCAATAAATGCCACAACGAGCAAGGACAAGGAGGGCAAGAATGAAATGAAGAACATGCAACAGTCTAACCCTCCTTTTATCTTGTCATGTTCAATCCAAAAAGAAAAGGCAACATGTAATAGCTAAGCCTGCTGCTAGTAAATATTGTCTGTTTTGGTCCGTTATGTATCGTTGTCGGCCTCACAGTTTTAAAACACATCTACTAGGGAGAGGTTTCCACACCTTTATAAGGAATGCTTCGTTCCCCTCTCCAACCGATGTGGGATCTCACAATGCAATTTATAACAACCCAAACCTATTGCTAATAAATATTGTCTGGTTCGAACCGTTACATATCGCCGTTAGCCTCACATTTTTAGAACACGTATGGCCGATGACAATATGTAACAGACCAAAGCAGACAATATTTACTAGCGGTGGGCTTAAGCGGTTACATTTTATAGAACTGGACACCAAATGGGATGGATTGTGAAATTCCACGTTGGTTGGAGTGGGAAACGAAACATTTCTTACAAGAATGTGGAAACCTCTCTCTAACAGTCGCATTTTAAAATCGTGAGGCTGATGATATGTAACGGACCAAAACAAATAATATCAAACTAGCGGTGAGTGCTTCACTAAAAGATTCTCAACAGTATTGAAGCTGAATGAAGTGATTGCTTTACAAGATAACAGGAAATGTATGTACAATGTCAGAATATATGATGAATCTAGTCTAGCTTTTGAAATATGTGGTAGCGGGTTAATTTCATTTCATTGTGTATTCATTTACCCACAATATAAATATGAGCACATGAAAGAGAGGATAGTATGAGCTTGACCCTCCACAACTTACATATTAATGTGTCCTATGTATCAAGAATCCAACAGCTCCAGCTTATGTCAAGCATAGCTTTAGCATCAGGGCATCTGCCAACATTGAATGAATTGAATGAATTGTCAGGCAACATTAAACAATAATCCTCATCTCCAAGTTACTTGCAATGATAAAAAATGATTTTGGAAGTTTATGGTACCAAATGCATATCCTATATAATTTAAATGTTCTTTTATATATAATTTAAATGTTCTTTTATATATTGGTAAGTGTTTGGCTAGCTTGCAAGCATTTCAACTAATCTCAAATGACAATGGTGAGATTTCATATTGGTTGGAGAGAAGAACGAAATATTCTTTAAAAGAGTGTGGAAACTTCTCCCTAGTAGACGCGTTTTAAAAACCTTAGAAGAAACCCGAAAGGGAAATCCCAAAGAAGACAGTATCTGCTAGTGGTGGGCTTGGGCCGCTACAAATGGTATCAGAGTCAAACACTGAACGATGTGCCAGCGAGGAGGCTGAGCCTCGAAGGGGGTGGACATGAGGTCGTGTGCTAGCAGTAAGGACGCTGGACTTCGAAGGAGGGTGGACTGGAGGATCCCACATTGATTAGAAAAGGGAGCGAGTGCGAGCGAGGACACTGGGCCCCGAAGAGGGTTGGATTGTGAGATCCCACATCGGTTGGGAAGGAGATCGAAAAATTCTTTATAAGGGTGTGGAAACCTCTCTCTAGCAGACACGTTAAAAAACTTGAGATGAAGTCTGAAAGGGAAAGCTCAAAGAGGACAATATTTGCTAGCAATGGGTTTGGGCCGTTACAAATGGTATCAGAGTCAGACACTAGGCGATGTGCCAACGAGAAGCCTGAACCCCGAAGGGGGTGGACATGAAGCGGTGTGGCAGCAAGGATGCTGGGCCCCGGAAGAAGGTGGATTGGGGGGTCCCACATAGATTAGAGAAAGGAATGAATGTCAGTGAAGACGCTGGGCCCATAGGGGGTAGATTGTGAGATCTCACATTGGTTGAGGAGGAGAACAAAACATTCTTTATCAGAGTGAAAACTTCTTCCTAACAAATGCGTTTTAAAAACTTTGAAGGGAAGCCCGAAAAGAAAAGCTCAAAGAAAATAATATGTGCTAACAGTAGACTTGAGCCGTTAAAACAATAATCTGACCTTACTACATTTAGTTCGCCACGGACCATTATGACCTGTCTGCGCTTAGATCCACTTACACTTTCCCCTACACTTTCCCTAACCCGTTCGTTAAGAGTTAAAGACAAGAATCTCAAGTCACTGGTTGACAACTGAAGACCTACTTATATACCCAATATCGAAGATCCCGTATCTAATAGAGGCACGACATTTCGTAGGATCGAAAAGGGCATCTTGTTTTAGCTGAGCATATTTTTCATAACGAGTTCTAGATTGGAACTGCAACGTGCACCTTGTTTACATAAGGTGTTTTAGCAAACGTACCTCAAAGGGAGAGCTGAAAGAGAAAAGTTTTCTTTGTTCATCAGTTGGATTCAACAACCAGTGGCAGAACATCACTGCAGCTCCAACAACAGCCAGAAGTGATAGCATCGCTAGAAATCCAAAATGCGAAGTATCGTTTGCAATTATTGCAACACCCAACATTATAGACTCTGCTAAACTAGCAACTGAGACCTCAGTTGATGCAATGAGGTTCGTTTTCGATGATGGTATCCCGGTTTGAAGAATCTGTTGCCCCACGACATCATACGACATGTGTCCCAGCCTCGATAATACCTGCATATAGGACAATTAGAACATTAAGGGTTCGGTAACGTCCGATACACAAGATGAATCAGGTCATTAGATTCTTACGATCATAGATAAGAAGAAAAGAAGAGCGCTCTGCCGGGAAAGAGGCCCGCTCCAGTACACAGCAACAGCAACTGTTAGAAGTGCAGCTTGAAATATTAATCCAACTGCTCCAGCCTGAAAAATGGAACTAGGAAGTGCATGAGACTACAATCAAAATATAGAACAGCATGGAATTACAAGAACAAACATAGAAGAAAATATAACCTTCAAAATTCCGAATTGTCTGACCAAATTTGCGGATACAAAGGTTGCAGTAACACCCATGAAAGCACATAATCCACTAAAACCACCAATTAATGATGGTTTAAGACCTGTAAGTTAATACCAACCAGAAGTAAAAAAGATTACTCATTCGAAGCCAAAGAGTAAAGTCTCAGAAAGCAAGTCAAGGAATAAACATAATTTAACACCAGTTCTAAATAAAGGAGTATCGCTGAACGTTTTAGCTTTTTTTTTTTTTTTTGCTCTCTTTCTTGGGGTAGGGGCTTTTAGTAGTGTTGTTGTGAGATCCCACATCAGTTGGGGAAGAGAACGAAACATTCTTTACAAGGATGTGGGAACCTCTCCCTAGCAAACACGTTTTAAAAACCTTGAGGGAAATCTCGAAAAGGAAATCCAAAAGAGGACAATATCTGATAGCAGTAGGCTTGGGCTGTTACAAATGGTATCAGAGCCAAACACCAGGTGATGTGCCAGCGAGGAGGTTGAGTCATAAAGGGGGTGGACACGAGGCGATGTGCCAGCAAAGAAGAAGGAAGGAGAAGGAAGAGAAGGATTATGCCAAAAGAAGGATTGTGAGATCCCCACATCGGTTGGGAAGGAGAAGGAAGCATTCTTTATAAGGGTGTAGAAACCTCTTCCTAGCAGACGTGTTTTAAAAACATTGAGGGGAAGCCCGAAAGGAAAAGCCCAAAGAGGACAATATCTGTTAGCAGTGGGCTTGGATTCTAACTTTCTGAGGACCCTGAGATTAAATTATTTGATGTAATGCAATTTTTCAATGTGATCTAGCTAATGTTTTATATGAATAACAGAGCTAATGGTTCTATACGAGGTGGGTGCATGTTGAAGCTACATTTTCTTCGAACGAAAAATTTTAAAATATAATAATCATATCAAGTCGTAAGCATACCTTGTTGAGTTAAGAATGCTGTCATCAAACTGCCTGGAGCAAGAACAGCATTGAAGTAGAGAAGCACATAGGCAAGGCTAGCAGGAAGAACTGGTTGCTGTAAATACTCCATCCATCCATTTTTAATAACTTCTACACCCACATCCACTAAAAGCACAATAAATGATATCATTAGAAAAACAATCAGAACGACCTTTGATTAAATTACATAACAGTTTGTGACGGTTTACTTATACTCTCAGCACTAGGTGAAGTTACTTCAGTGGGATTGCCACAAGAAGTTTGCGAACATTTTGCCCGATCAAGAACACCGGTGGAGAGTTGGTTCGTTAGCCAGGTAAGTAGAACCTGATAAAACACGTGTAACGATTAACAAACTCATTTCTCAAGAAGTATCTGTTAGAGGATTGTTGGGAGGGAGTCCCATGTTAGCTAATTTAGGAAATGATTATGGGTTTATAAGGAATACATCTCTATTGGTATGAGGTCTTTTGGGGAAGCCCAAAGCAAAGCCTCGAGCTTATGCTCAAAGTGGACAATAGCATACCATTGTGGAGGTTCATGATTCCTAACATGGTATCAAAGTCATGCTCTTAACTTAGCCATGTCAATAGAATCTTCCAATGTCGAACAAAGAAGTTGTGAGCCTTGAAGGTTAAGTCAAAAGTGACTCAAGTATTGAACAAAGGGTGTACTTTGTTCGAGGACTCGAGAAAAGAAGTCGAGCCTCGATTAACGGAGGCTATTTGAGAGCTCCATAGGCCTCAAGGGAGGCTCTATAGTGTACTTTGTTCGAGGGGAGGATTGTTGAGGATTGTTGGGAGGGAGTCCCACCTCGGTTAATTTAGGGAATAATCATGAGTTTATAAGTAAGGAATACATCTCCATTGGTATGAGGCCTTTTGGGGAGCCCAAAACAAAATCACGAGAGCTTATGCTCAAAGTGGACAATATCATACTATTGTGGAGGTCTATGATTCCTAACCGTATTTAGTTAGCACGGGAACGAGTAATTACCACGACTGGCAAGGACCATAACATTAAACCCGCAGCGAACTTCAAGCAAGTTACTGGATCATACTTGGAAAGGATAAGGCCAAATAAAGATGCTCCAACTATCTGCACATTAACAAACAGAAAATCAAGATCACAAGGATCTGGAAAAGAAAAAGTTGATCTCAGAAGGTCCATTTACCTCACAGAGAAGGTCAATTCGATTAAGAACAGCATTAGCTTCTGCAAGTGCGATAGGTCGATTGATTCCGGCTAACTGTACGTGGAATTAGAATGCTAGTTTTAGCGATACATCTTGAATAACAAGGACACAAATAATTTAAAAATGAACGTACCAAGACGACCCAATCACGCTCCATAGCAACCCCCAAGGCTATTCCAGATAGCCTCTCTATGGCACCAGCAAAGATCAGGGTAATAAACCAAGGCTGAAGAAGTATGGATGATGATGCAGCAGAATGTGGAATAGAATGGGCATAAATTACCATTGAAGCAGATAGTAATTGAGCAGCAGCCTGAAGAAAACAGAGAAACCTTAAATTTAACAAAAACCAGACCATATTCAAGTCGAGTGCTACAACTTTGGCTAGTTAAGTTCCATGCGTGCTCGAATATTTGACTTCTTATATTAAGCATATTTGAATGGACCTACCTGAACACAATTCAGGCAAGTATATGCAGGTACTCTCGGAAAATTATCCATAAACTTCCCGACCAATGGACCTCCGACTATCAATGCAAGCTGTTAACACTTTTAACATATTAGAAAGGGTTTCTCTTGCATCGTAATTCAAAATGTTTTATCTTGACGAACAGCTAGTTACCTTTGTAAAGAATCCCATAACTGCAACTGGAAGAAGACTGTGATGAAGCAATGCAATGGCAGAAGGCCAAGCAAAATTCCAAAGCTGTTCTACCAAATTGCCCGCAATACATGTGGCGTATAAAGCTGTAAGATAGAAGCATTATTTATGGTTGGGAACAACCACCAGGATCGAAAAAGGCCTTATAGTTCACATCTACAAGTATCGTTGTCATACAGTGGCTGAAACATTCCAAGCCCACCGCTAACAGACATTGAGATGTCTCTAGCACCATGTAACGGTCCGAGCTCACCACTAGCAGATATTGTCCTCTTTGGACTTTCTCTTTCGAGTTTTCCCTCAAGGTTTTTAAAGAATGCTTTGGTCTCCTTTCCAACCGATGTGGGATCTCACAATCCACCCCTTTCGGACCCAACGTCCTCGCTCGCACTCGTTCCCTTCTTCAATCGATGTGGGACTCTCCAATCCACCCCCCTTTGGTGCCCAACGTCCTTGCTAGCACATCGCCCTGTGTCTGGCTCTGATACCATTTGTAACAGCCCAAGTCCAAGCCCACCGCTAGCAGATATTATCCTCCTTGGGCTTTCCTTTTTGGGGTTCCTCTCAATGTTTTTAAAACATGTTTGCTAGGGAGAGGTTTCCACACCCTTATAAAGAATGCTTCGTTCTCCTCCCCAACCATGTGGGATCTCACATTTCAGAATCAAAATTTCGGAAGGTTCTTACCGTACAATGCAGCAGGATGAGCTGGAGTTGCCGCAAGCACATTCTGCTCCCCCTCAGATAAAACCTACAATTACAGAACCAGAGTTGATTTAATTACTATCTTCTTCCATCATAAAAGTCAATTACATTAAATCATAGAGAAGGAGAAATAACCAAGGCAGCATACAGGCAAAGTTGTCAAAAGACTATCGACATAAGTTCGTTCGGTCAATAAACCCAAAGGTTCTGTTTGTAGAGTCAATGTATCAGCCTCCAGGAATCCAGAATTCAATTGTACGATTGAAAGTGAACAATCAGCTTCTACAGAAGATAAAGCTTCTTGAACATCATCTTCCACAGAAACTTGATCGAATTTTACATCGGAGTTGGTTATTGAACATTTCGAAATGACTCTCTGAAGCCTGAAGCCAAAAAATTCCAGTAGAGAGGGATTTTGATTACAAATTCCAACAAGAAAGCAATATTTCAAGGTTAACTAAAGGGAATGGGTGAGCATAAATGTTTAGGAGTTTGAAGATTGTAATAGCCTAAGTTCACCGCTAGCAGATATTGTCTGCTTTGGCCCGTTATGTATCGCCATCAGCCTCACAGTTTTAAAACGCGTCTATTAGGAAGAGGTTTACATACCCTATCAGAAATGTTTGTTCTCCTCTCCAACCAATGTGAGATCTCATAATCCACCCCCCTTGGGGGCCCAGCGTCCTCGCTGGCACACCGCTCGCTATCATTTGTAATAGCCCAAGTTCATCGCTCAGATATTGTCTGCTTTGGCCCATTACATATCGCCGTCACCCTCACGGTTTTAAAACGCGTCTATTAGGGAGAGGTTTCCACACCCTATAAGAAATGTTTCGTTCTCCTCTCCAACCAGTGTGGGATCTCATAATCCACCCCCCTTGCGGGCCCAACATCCTCGATGGCACACTACTCGGTGTCTTGTTCTAATACCCTTTGTAATAGCCCAAGTTCATCGCTAGCAGATACTGTCCGCTTTGACCCATTACATATCGCCATCAGCCTCACAGTTTTAAAACACATCTATTAGGGAGAGGTTTCCACACCCTATAAGAAATATTTCGTTCTCCTCTCCCACCAATGTGGGATCTCCTAAAGATATACAAGATATACCCACTGGACCTAAGTTGCCGTATTTTCATTATCTCAACATGATAAGAACATCAATTGCACAAGACTCTTTTTCACCAACCAGGATGTTAGACGAACACGACTCTCCACAATGGTATGATATTGTCCACTTTGACCCATGACCATTCCCTAAATTAACCAATGTGGGACACTTTCATCTAACACCTCCCCTCAAACAAAGTACGTCTTCCCTTAATCGAGACTCGACTCCTTTGGAGTCTTAGTCATTTTTTACTGCCTTCGAGGAGGCTTGACTCCTTTTTTCTTTTTGGAGTCCTTTGTTCGACATTCGAGGATTTGCCAATCTATTGGCACGGCTAAGTTTAGGGTATGGCTCTGATACCATGTTAGACGAAAATGACTCTCCACAATGGTATGATATTGTCCACTTTGAGCATAAGCTCTCATGGCTTTGCTTTGGGCTTCCCCAAAAGGCCTCGTACCAATGGAGGGTGTATTCTTAGATTATAAATCCATGACCCTTCCCTAAATTAACCAATGTGTCTAACACAAGACATTCAAATTCCAACTCACAGGATCAATTGTTATATGAACAAACCGAAGCATTTGGCAGCTAAATCAACGTCTAAGCTAAGGTATATCAGACAACAAATCCAGCAAATGACACTCCAACAATTCCATCAGACAAGAACATCAAAATGTTACAATATAATCCTTTTTGTCGGTCATAGGAATTACCTGGAGCTGGAAGAAATGCAAGCCTGATTCATATTCTTCAACCGTCGGCAAGAAATGAAGCGATTGCGAACTCGAGAAGAATGCCACGATAAAGAAACTTCACGGATTGAAAATCTGAAACAGCTAAAAGAGTATGTCTGAGTGAGCGCGAGAGTGTAACAAATAGCCATGGCTGCTGCTGTTGCTGTTGCTGTTGCTGTCGCTTTTGCTTCCAGTTCAAGCTCCCAAACTTGAAGAGCCTACAAAAGGAGTTTCGCCCACTCATGCAGCCCCTCAAGCGAAAATCAGCGACTGGGTTTTATTTAAGAACATGGAAAAACAATTTCCAAAACGATTTCGTTACCAATTTCAAAAACCCTCGACTCAAATCCTGTTGGGTAATCGAAAATGCTTAAATTTCGAAGCAACCCACGATTTGATTCCTGTCGAACAATCTGGGTTGATAAATTTTGTGGGTTATTGATGGTTTTGGGAGTGGAAGAGAAGCCGGAAAAGAGCCTTATCTTTGTACCGTCTGATTTTGGTTATGAATAGCAACCAGCGGACAGTTCAAGGCTGGGTAGCGTATGATCACTTAAGGCCTCAAGTTAGGTGTGCTTTGGAGACTCGGGGGTTCATGGGCCATTAGAAATTCAGCGTTTAGATAGCGTAAAATGGTTTACATTAGAAATTGAGATGGAAATTAATCGGAGTTCAAAGTGGAGCCTAGCGCTTGATTTGATTGAGTCATTGTTCTTGGAGCTTTGTTTTGTTTTAAAAATATCTTGCCATTTTTTTAATTATTTATTTATTTATCAATGTCGAGTTTTTTAATGAAAAAAATATTTATTTAAACTAAATTCTCGAATGGGTTGTATTGTTTTTTTTATTTTTAATTTTGAACGGTTTTATTAGAATCTGTCCCATAATGAGTCAAATGACTATATGTATTTTAAAACCGTGAGACCAATAACGAGACGTAATGAGTCAAAGCAGACAATATCTGCTAACGGTAGGTTTGGACTGTTACAGAGATAGTCATCATGGGTGGCAAAGTCATATACAACTAGTTCATTCTATTCATGGGCTGCTTTGTTCGTCACTATTTTTTTCTATGTTCGTGTCGATATTTTAATTGAGCTCAAACTCTGCACGGTTGAAAGTCAATGACATCATCATGGTTGTCACTGTCTGTCTTCGACAATATCATTACCTAGATCTTTCTCACACTTAATAAATTGTTTTTGTGTAGGAGTTGTGTTTATCAATTGAATTTTAGAATATAAAATTTTAATTTATATCTCATAAGCTAATTAATTTTTATTAAGATTTCAGAATAAACGAAAACCTCTTAATCAGAAGTAGGGTTCGATTTTGCTTCCTCAAAAGCAAACCAATCTTCGGCGGACAAATCAATGGTGTTTGTCGCATATGTTCGCAAGTCGAAGAATCTGGCTATGGCTGTCCATGGCGAGAAGCTGGATATTTTCTCAGGTAACTATTCAGACTCTGCCACTTTTCATTTTCAGATTTCCAGTCTCGATAACAGATGATAGAGATCAGAAGCGTAATGGTGTTTTCTGGCTGAATTCGATCCACGAATCTCTGTTTTTTTTTAGTGGATTGGAAAATTAGGGAAAATTTTAATTAGTTAGGGTTGTTGTTGAGAATTAGCTGGTATCGCTATCAGGTGGATCATCCGTCCTTTTGTGAATTTCTACTTTGTTAGGTCATCTAACTTGGTCTCTTTTTCATTTTCATTCATATTAACACTCGTGATGGGGTGAAGTGGAGCAGTTTCGAAGAACATTCGAGTGTAGTGTTCAGTAAAAGTTTAGAGGATCAACTTCAAAACGGATTAATTTAGTTTTCTTTTTCTAGCTTTTGTTGTTCTTGGCATTAAATTTGAGCACAGAGTTAATGAAGTTTTGAAAAAGAAGATTAAATTTTCTTGAAACAGTTTTTGATGACTCTGAGAGGTATTGAAAATTTTGATACAGCGCCCGAAATCGTGAGTGAGATCGAATGAGACTCGAAAAATCCTCATCAGAAGTAGAGTTCGATTCTGCTTCCTCAAATGCCAACCATTCTTCAACGGGCAATTCAATGGCATTTGATGCGTATGATGTTCGCAAGAAGAAGAATCTGGCTATGGTTGTTCACCATTAAGAATTTGGATGTTTTATCAGGTACTCGTACCTCAAACTCTGCCATTTCGCATTTTTTGATACCCACACAAAAATAGAGAATCGAAATCAGAAGCATAATGGGGGTTTTTGGCTGAATTGGATCCACGAATTTCATTGTTTTGTACCGATTGGAAAATGAGGGTAAATTTCAATTAGTTAGGATTGTTGATGAGATATGCCGATTGTGTGTTGAAATTTGAGATCATGTGCTATTAGAATATAGTTTGATGATTCAAAGTTGGGACATTCCTAATGTGGAAGGTCTGATATGAAGTGTTGAAAAATTCCTTAAAAATAGGGGATAAGAATCACAAAAAGTCCCTAAGAAGGTTCGAGCATGCTTGGTAATGATTTTTAAATAGCTTAATTCATCTTTGTCAGGTTCTTTCGAAATATGTTTTTAGTCATTTGAAACCAGTTTTGCTAGTAAGAAAAGAGAAGAGAGACCTTTGTAAATCTGTGCATGAAAACCTTAATATTTCATGAGAAGAGGACATATGGTTCTTTTAAAAGAGAACGGTAATTACTCTTTTCTTTCAATTCTAAGGCGAGTTCTAATCTGTGCAGGAAAACTACTACTAGTCATGTGTCTCCATGAGAGAACTTATGTCCTAAATGATATCTTTATCTTTTATAGAAAGATTGAAGTTAATTCTTAAGTAACGTTCAAATTGTGTAACGACCCAGATCCACCGCTAGCAGATATTGTCCTCTTTAGACTTTCCTTTTCGGACTTCCTCTCAAGGCTTTAAAAGCGTCTGTTAGGGGAAGGTTTCTACACCCTCGTAAAAGGTGATTTGTTCTCCTCCCTAACCAACTTGGGACATCACATATTGTGTGGTTTGAAACATGAAAAGAGTTCTCAAATTTCATTTTTTCTTTATAGTGAAGCATTTCCAAACAGAAAGCTTGGTAGAAGGAAAATATGAAACTAAACCACCCTAAACTTATTGAAAGGGTGAGTTAACAGAAGTAAGGTATAATCATCATGAGTTAAAGTATAAGAGTGTTTCAAAGGAGTTTGGGAATCCACCCATCTTGGTTAATGAAGGATTCCACGGAGTAGCTGTTTAGTTGTGAGGCTCCCTGCGTCTTTGCCCATGAAACCCCTTTGGAAGGGGAAGATTGCGTCTTTGCCCATGGAACCCTTTTGGAAGGGGAAGATCCTATCCCCCTACTATTCAACTCGATGTACATAAAATTTTTCCTACATAACGTAACACCAATTAGAACCTGACAATAAAACCTGGAACTCTAAAAGTTTTTTTTTTTTTTTCATCTTTTGGGCTGTGAACTTACTCTTTGCCCCTGAAGTTCCAGGCATTCCATCCCTCTGGTGCTACCACGTTCCCCATGTTGGTATCTTCGAATATAACTCTAGAAAAAGGACCATATGCTCTCCCCAAAAAAGCTTTGCCCGACCCCATTATGGTGCATTGTTTAAATACAAATCCGCTCAGATCTTTTGCGGATTGTCGACCTTGTGCAGTAATGTATCCTTGGTTGACTTCAGGGAGAAGTCCAACATTAACATGTATCATGCAGTCCTGCATTTTTGGTCTCTCCAATTGTGTTATTAGTAGAACATCGTCGATGACAATTTGTAGAAAAAAGAAGTTGAACTGATTACCTGATAAACTGATTGACCATTACCAAAGATGAAATCTATAGCACCTTCAACGTAACAACTTTTGAAATAATGGCGGCCTTTTACATCCCATAATGTGTCTTGAAACCCTTTGAATCCACAGCTGATAAAAGCCGATTTGTCACCGTAGATTCTTGCAGCTAATGCTTGTGTATAGAAAGTTTCAGCACTTTGAACAAACAATTGTGGAGCATCTGCCAGGTTGAAGGAGTTCTGCATGCAGGGCAAGCATAAAAGCAACCATTCAAATAAGATAGACTATGATCAATGATTGAACAATCGAAGTCTTCTCTGACTGCTCAGGTGCGTACTATACTTAATACTTTTCATGCATCTATGAGCTTTAAGTTCAGTTTATAGAAGCTGCAATACCTGAAAGGTAATGCCTCTCGCAATAATGTTATCAGCCATTGAACTAAATGTAGCGCTAGTATCTGTTTGTTGATGGCCATCGAAAGTGATAACCGTCGTACTGCGGTGACCCCCTTGTAGATAAATGAATGGTTTTTTTGACGGGATTGTCACCATTTCTCTGCAAAATGACCATATTAGAACAAAAGCTCACTAGAATTAGGCATATTCACGTGTCGTATTACCTGTATACACCAGGATTGACTTGAATCTTAACCCATTTGTTGTTGTTAAGTGGAACTGAGTCGATGGCTGCTTGAATGGTCTTGAAATTGCCTGTGCCAGACTTGTCAACAACAATGACGGATTGAATTTTAAAGTCAAGGGCCCTTGTAGAGTTCATTGCAACATTAAACAGGGTGAAGAGCAAGAGAAATGGAGATAGTAGCTGCATGCTTCTGGGTTTAGAAGGGAGCTGAAATCTGCAAGTTGACTATATTAATAAAAATATTCGAAAACTTCGGTAATCGTCTCAATAACATCTTTAAGCTTTATGATTAGTTTTGAAAAGTTTGATTAATTTAGTCTAATTATTTAAATTAAACCCATGAAATTAAGACCATAATAATAATAATATTATGAATTGGCATACCTTATCAAATCTCCCTTCTCACCCTCTTGTGCAGGCAAATGGGCACTTTGAATATGCAATGGAACAAAAAGAATTCCAACTTTAATAGAGCTTAAACATGGGTATGAACTTCGATATTTTCTTTTTGTATTATTTTGAAATTCAAGGATTAACTCATGATTAATTTTATTCTTATTTTAGAAAATTATAAACCTACTTTAACTAATTATATCAAATTATATAAATATTGGTAGAGTGTTCATATTATAACCTAATAACTACATAAAAGTTGAATTAAGGTTGGATATTGTTAGATTTTTTTTTTTTTTTTTTTTTTTTTTTTTTTTTTTTTTTTTTTTTTTTTTTTTTTTTTTTTTTTTTTTTT